TAGGCCATGGGTCCCGATGTGGAGTTCATCGACTGATCTTCTTGGTCCTATCTTGGCATTAAAATCACCGACAATGATTTTGTAGAAGGTGTGATCTTCTTTATAGAACTTCTCCAGCTCCATGTAGAACTTCTCAGTTTCTCTTTCACCATAACTGGATGTTGGTGCATAGATGACAAAGATAGAAACTGTCGGTAGTGAGCCACATCTATTCAAGTGTAATCGTCCGATTCGGGTTGTTAGGCATTCGAATGAATCAATGCTCATGGCTAAGTTTGTGTTGACAAGGATACCGACACCACCAATGCCTCTTTTATCACATGTTCCAAGGAACAGTTCTTCTCCAGTGTCTAAAACGGCATGATGTGATTGATGTCTTCTCGTTTTGGTCAGACCAATGATGCCGTACTTGATCTTTCGCGCTTGTACCATAAGGTCTTCAATGGATGCAGCAGATGTCAGCGTACGAGCATTAAAAGTACAGACAATTATTTTTGTTTTTCTTTGTTTTGGCAGCCTATTTCTGCCTTGGTATTTTATCAGCCTTTCCTTCCATATCCTTCTCGACTCTGCCATATTCAGGGTTAGGGGAATGAGATCCATTTATTACTGGATTTGGCATATCAATTTGGTCTATTTGGCATAGATCACGGATATCTTGCCAGGCTCTGGCGTGCGGGTGGGATATTTAAAGGTACCCTGGAAACTTAGAGGAAAGTAAATAAATAGTCGCGTGGCCGCGAATGCTTGTTGTGATAATCTCTGGATCCTGGCCGTTGTTGGGGTTACACGGCAGTTGGAGGGTGTAACTGTCTAGCTACTGACAGGTCTAGTCTCAAACCGTGCAGGCTTGGAGATCTCAGCCCCGGGTCCCACACACCTGGGTTCCTCTGCCAGTTCTGTTATGCCTGAGGCTTAACCAAGTGTGTGGAGAGTGGCCTCAGTATGGCCTTGGCTGGGGCCTGGAGGTCTTCAGCTGTTGGGCCCTGGCGAGGATAATCAGGCACAGGGTAGGAGACTCTGCCTTGTGCTCTCCCGGGAGCTTGTTGTGATAATCTCTGGATCCTGGCCGTTGTTAAGTTAACATTAATCAGCGTAAAACAAGTGTCTTGTTTCTTAAAATGGGTTTGGGGAGAGTAGACCAATTCCCTGAGTTTGCACCAAGTCTAGCACACTGCTCACTAAGCAGAGAGGGGAGCAGGGGTCTGAGAGCAGCTGGGAAGTTACTCAGCCGTGGGCTCTGCAGAAGGATCTGAGACCACCTCAAACTGCCCCCCACCCTCCAGGGGGCAGCTGCTGGCCCCATCCACAAGTGACACCCAAGATTGCCTTGAAGTCTCAAATACCCTTAGAAGACCCTGTTCCAATTTGCCGTTGGCCTTCGAGGGACACCCTCAGGCTATTTTCCTTTCTTCAATTAGAGTTTTTGGCATTAAGGTCAATGCTGAGCCGTGATTACAGGATCAAACAGGTCCTCACCGAGGGAGACGATGAAACATGCTGGCTGGGGTCCCATCTGATGGCTGCAGACCATCATTAAGTCTCCAGAGCACTGGCAGAGCCGGCAGCTGGGGCCGGAGCCAGTTTGGTCCTGCTGGACTTGCTCACGGTCATGAGCTCATGGGAACAGAGCCCGGGTGCCATCCGTGAGGAACGAATTCCCAAAGGCACAGTTCCAAGGCACACACCAGGAAAAGTCAGAGCTGGGAATGCATCATCATGTCCCGCCCAAGCCCAAGTCCCTGGGGCCGAGGGCTGCCTAGAGATTGCTGGAGTCCGGTACTGATGCTGATGCCCAACCTGACCCATGGAAAGGAGCCAGGATCACCAGCCCGGCTGGTATCTGCAGGCTTGCATTCACGCATTGAGACTATGAGGCGCTGCTCTTTCCTGCCTGGCAAATCGTGGTTATTTTGGGGAAGGGAAAACTAAACCATTAATTAGAGGTGGATGGACTAGAGCTCAGAGTCCAGGTCTGCCTTCACTCTTGAAAGATGCATAACAGGGACTGGGCGACAGCACAGCGGGGAGGGCGCCTGCCTGGCACATGGCCGACCCAGGTTCAATCCCCGGCATCCCACAGGGTCCCCGGAGCACCGCCAGGAGTGTGCAGAGCCAGGAGTCAGCCTTGAGCACTGCTGGGTGCAGCCCCCAAACGAAACAAAATACATTTTCAAAAAATGCCCAATACTGGCCCTGTACCTTCTTCAGTTTCCCCAGACCTCACTGGCAGCGGATACAAGACAGAAGGGGCCTGGCGGGTGTTTCCAAAGTCTCTGTCCATCACAGACTCTCAGAGCCAAGGCCACGCTGCTCTCCTGAATCCTTGGGCTCACAGCTCAGCATGGTGCACAGCCACACACGTAGGGGCCCGGGGGTCTCAGCACCCCAGAGAGTTGCTCTACAGTGCACAGTGGTAGGGCATTTGCCTTGCATGCGGCCGACACGGCCGACCCAAGTTCGATTCCTCTGCCCCTTGGAGAGCCCGGCAAGCTACCGAGAGTATCTTGCCCATATGGCAAAGCCTGGCAAGTTACCCGTGACGTATTTGATATGCCAAACACAGTAACAAGTCTCACAACGTTACTGGACCCGCTTGAGCAAATCAATGAACAACGGGAGGACAGTGACAGTGATTACTATTATTACTACAGTGTTGTTGTTTATTGAACCACATCTGGCGGTGTTCAGGGCTCGCTTAGTCCTGGCTCTGTGCTCACGTGTCACTCCTGAGCTCAGGTGGACCCTAAATGGTGCCACGGATCAACCCAGGCTGGCCATGTGCCATGCAAGCACCTTACCCATTCCACTCCCTCTGGCCCTTACAAACAAACACTGTCCTCCCGTTGTTCATGGATTTGCTCGAGCAGGCCCAGTAATGTCTCCATTTTGAGACTTGTTATTACTGTGTTTGCAAGGCAGCCGGAGCAATAGCACAGAGGTAAGGCATTTGCCTTGCACACAGCCAGCCCAACTGAGCCTGGTTCGATTCCTCCGCCCCTCTTGGAGAGCCTGGCAAGGTACCGAAGAGTATCTCGCCCGCGCGGCAGAGCCTGGCAAGCTACCCGTGACGTATTCAATATGCCAGACACAGTAACAACAAGTCTCTGGCTCCTACTATTTTCATTTCATTTCATCATCCTGTTATTCGTCGATTGCCTCGAGCAGGCCCCAGTAACGTCTCTTTCATCCTAGCCCTGAGATTATATTCAAGGCTCTTTAGGAGAATGAGACCCATCATTGTTACTGGTATTTGGCATATTTGGTAAGCCACGGGGAGTTTGCCAGACTCTGCCCTGTGGGCAGGCTACATTCCATAGCCTGCCAGTTTGTCCAAAGTAGGAATGAGATAATAAGATGTCCTACTATAGAATTATTTTTCCTAGAACCTTCTAGGAGGGCCATAAAGATAAGTACAAAGTACAAAGATTTGCCTGGCCTGAGGGCTGAGGCCATAAGCCGGGTCTGATCCCAGGACCATAGATGGTCCCCGAGTGCTATCAGCTATGGCGTAAGCACTGCCAGGCAAGGCAAAGATCCAGAAACGATTGAAACTGAATGTTCTCTTTTGGAAGGTGGGAAGACATCCTTGGTGCTCAGAGATGGCCCCGGTGGTGCTCAGGGACTATAGGTGGTGCAGGGGCTCAAACTCAGGCCAGCCACATGCAAGGCAAGTGCCGTCAGCTCTGCACTATCCCTCGGGCCCCAGGAACATCTCTCCAAACACCAGGCGAGTAGCAGCCCTTGGTGCCTGCCCAAGACACCTTCTCCCTCCAGGGGCTTGACGGAGTACCTGGCAGCAGGGACTGTGTGAGGCTGATGGGGCCGCCCCAGAGCTCTTCCTGGAACAGCTCTCTTTGCGAGGGTGAAACTGATGCCATGACAAGCTTCAGCTAACATTAAGTCTCAGCGAGGTCTCAGTTTCAGTTTCCCTGGAGCAGGACTTGCAGTTTCTGGTAAATTCCCAGTTGAGTGATTTGAGATAAGGAATTGGGCAGTTGGGTCTGGCTGGCCATGAGGGGTCACTGTCCCCTCCTTAGAAACTGTTGCTAACCACTGCCTAATTGCTGACCACCACTGTAATAGGGCCAATGCTCAAAACAGACCAGTATATAAACTGCTTCTTAACTCTGAACCCTATATAAACTGCTTCTGAGTTGGAGTCGGAGTCCTTGTTAAGACTCCACTGTGTTGGATGAGACTTGGCTAGCTCGGGCTAGCACTAGCTCAGGCTGGTAATAAAATTCCTTTGCTTTTGGATTATCGTGTGTGGACTTGGTCTCTCCGCAGCTGGGGATCTGAAACTTGGGCACATCATCTTTAAAGCTGGGGACGGAAAATACCCTTGGACTCAGAAGCAAACCAGGAGAGAGAAGGGGGCTGGGGGAGGGGGTGTGGAAGAAAGACACCGCCACTCCGAAACCAAAGTACATAAAATTTTAATGAGTTAACCTTACAAAAGACAATGGTGTCAAAACATCGGACGTGTCTGGTACAAAACAGGTGCGAGTTATGAGAACAAAGCAGGGGTGGATGGCAGCGTGCGGCTGGCGGGCTGGCACGGGACGTCTAAGAGCAAAGGGGGACACAGCCATGGGGCCCCCCCGGGGCCGCAGGGGCCACTGGCAACAGGACACAGCGGGGAGGGGGGAGGCACAGTCAAACTCCATGGGGATGGGGGGCGGAATCCACAGATTCACAAATACTGTGTGTTTGAATATCAGACTAGCGGATGCGGCTGGAGAACTACCATATTTCCCAGAAAAGAACATGCACCAGAAGATACTATACACTCCCTAGTTTTATTGCCTTAAGAATTTGTGGTTGCTTCACCTCGAGCATGGCAGTCGGTTCTCCGGAGGGTCCTCATCCCCCACAACCCGCTCCCTCGCCCTCTGCCGCAGAGCCGGCACACAGTGCAGGCGGCAGCCCGGCACGCGTCAGAGGAGCGAACCTGAGGACGCCGCAGCGGGGTCAGAGGCAGGGGCGGCAGAGGCAGAGCAGGCACACGGGGATGGGCGGACAGGGTGAGACGGCGCTTCAGGAGGCCAGGTTGCTCTGGGAAAGGGACCGCGACATCTCCGTGTTGACAAAGTACGTCTTCAGGTCCCCCTTGCCCTTCACGTTGATGATGCCCCGACACGTGCACGTGTAGCCCAGGGTCTGCAGGACGAGGCTGGTCTCTTCCGTGACCTGGAGATGCGGGTGAAGGATCCAAGAGGAGGATGGAGGGGAGCAGGGGAGGGGAAGATCCGGAGGGGAATAGGAGGAGAATGGAGACGAGATTGGAATAAACTGCAAGAGAGACCAACCAGCCCGGCCCTCGCTCCCTCCTTCATCTGCCCATCACCATAGGCCACCCCGGGGTGGAGGCCAGAGACCACCGAACATGGGGGGTGGGGGGGAGAGAGATAGAGAGAGACAGAGACAGAGACAGAGAGACAGAGAGAGACACAGACAGAGAGACACAGAGACAAAGACAGAGAGACAGAGAGACGAACAGAGACAGAGAGACAGAGAGACACAGACAGAGAGAGACAAAGACACACACACACACACACAGAGAGAGAAAGAGAGAGAGAGAGAGCTGGCTGCCATGGCCTTTCTTAATTTATTTTTGAATCCACAGGGGGGCCCAGGATGATCGGTTAGTGCTGAAGGTATGGGGCTGAGCTTAGCTGGGTGGTGCCTGCTGGCAAGAGGCTGGGTTTGATCCCGGGCGACCAGTAAGCAGAGGAGAGGGCAGTGCAGAGAAAGTGGCCGAGAGGCCAGGTAGAGGTCTGGGGACTCACGAGCACCCGGACCGGAAGCAACCTCAGGCTCTGGAGTCTCCAGGGTTTGGTGAGCCCCAGTGCTGCCAAGTGCACATGGCACAGGTGCCTGGTGGCAGTGTAGTGAGTGGGCAAGGAGACTGCCTCGCACCTGGCCACGCCAGCCTCCATCCCTGGAACCCCACAGGGTCCCCCAAGCACTGCCAAGAGCAAAGTCAGAAGAAAAAGCCCTGAGCACTGCCAAGTGAGACGTGGCCCCCACGCCCCTGAAATTTTAATTGAAAAAAAAATCACACGCGAGAGCCACCCTGGCAGGGTTTAAGGGCTGCGGTAGCCTCAGGCGCACTGGGGGCAGGTGCTGGTTCACTTAAGGAAGGGAGATTTGGGGCGGGGGGGGGGGGGGGGACTGACGCCTTTTTCCTGTCCAGGAGGGACTGCAGGTCAGGTAAGCTCAGGAAGCCAAGACACAGATGGATGCCAGACACTGTGCCCACCCCTGACCTCACTGAGTAGAGATCAGGGGATGTTCCGCTCTGATCTTCACCCGGGGGTGGGGGTGCTGCAGAGGTGAGAGTCCGTGACAAATGAAATAGGGGGGAGGGTCCCAGTGCCAGGGGTGGGTGGTGAGTGTCCCCCTCCCAGGGACTCTGAAGTGGGCTGGGTGCCAGGCCCACTGGGGGGGGGTCCCCGTGGTAGGGCCCTGACCTTTCTGAAGCAGCAGCTGGCTGAGCAGTGGACAGGCCTGAGGGTGCAGGAGGGAATCCCAGAGCAGCTGCTGGCTCCCTCCCGCAGAGTGTCCCCCCCAACCGGGTTCGGGTGGATGCACTGCCCAGGATTTGAGGCAAAGGAGCGACCCTCAGGGGCTCGGCATGGCCACACACTAGGCAGAGTGAGGGGAAGCCTCTGGAACCCTCAGGGTCACAAACCAACAGTGAGTCAAAAATCAGTCAGTTCCAATAGGGAGAAACTGCCTTTAGGAATAAAATCTTTTTTTTTCTTTTTTCTTTTTGGGTCACACCTGGCGGTGCTCAGGGATTACTCCTGGCTCTGCACTCAGGAATTACTCCTGGAGGTACTCAGGAGACCATATGGGATGCTGGGAATCAAACCCGGGTCGGCCGCGTGCAAGGCAAATGCCCTCCCTGCTGTGCTACCACTCTGGCCCCCTAAAACCTTTCTAAATTTTATTCTTATTTTGTCTTTGGGCTGCACCCAGTGTGCTCAGGGCTCCCTCCTGGCTCTGTGTCAGGAAGCCTATGGGGCACCAGCCAGGCAGGGTGTGTGCCCAGCCCTGCACTGCAGCTCTGGGCCCTGAAAATGTACTTCGGGAGAGGAAGAGCAGTCAGGCCTGCCAGCCACCCACGGCAGTCTTAGGGGGCAAGAACAGGGACACACACACACTCTGAAGAGGATGGGGGCCCCCCACAAATAATAACCCCCCATGGCGGCAGGGCCTCAACCATCTTAACCTGTTCTATGGGGTGGGAGGAGGCGCGGGAGAGACCTCCTTCCTTGCGCCCTGTCAAACCCAGACCACCACCACGTGACCGTCCATGTTCAACCCCCCCCCCCCTCCTGGCCCCGGTCACAAGGGAGTGGCTACCCCAGGCTCAAGCCAAGGCTGAGGGCGGCTCCGCCTCCCCTCCCCATCCCAGGTTACCTGGATTCTGTCCAGGACCCCGGTGCTGTCCATGCGGCTGGCCACGTTAACTGTGTTGCCCCAGATGTCGTACTGTGGCTTCTGGGCTCCGATCACGCCCGCTATGACAGGCCCGTGGTTGATGCCTGGAACACAGCAGAAGGGGGTCAGCGAGATTCCAGCCAGAAAGATCGCGAGAACATCGGTCAGGCTCTGGACCCAAAGCCTGGGCTCTGCCCGCAGAATGCGCCTTGGGCCAGGGTTTCCCCCTCAAACCCTGCCGATCCCTCTCGATTGAATACCCCTGACTGCAATGGTGGGGGACAGCAGGGCCACTGCTCTTCCTGGAGTGGTGCTAGAATGCCTGTGTGCCCGTGCTGTCCCTGACTCCCGCTTCTCTGCCACTCATCATTCGCAGTGCCAGAAATTCCAGAGACGGAGTATCACTTGAGGCCTTCTCTGCACTGGTGGATGATCCCTGACAAGAGATGTTTGTTACATTGTTTCCCAGCAGCTTCATAGTTACCAAGTGTTTGGCCTTCTGGTAGTTTTGTTTGGAGGGTTACAGTGTAGCTCCCGCTATCTGTTCACTGTTCTGCAGCTATTGGAATTCGGGGCCCCTGCCAACGTTTGTTAAACCAACACAATGCACAGGATGACGGAATCTGCATCTTATTTCCCCTCCCTGCTCTAGTCCCTGCATGTAAACTCCGCGACTCCCATGTCTTGCCCAGACAGCTGCCGGTATCATTGCCCCCTCCTTTTCAGGAATTACTCCTGGCGGTGCTCGGGAGACCGTATGGGATGCTGGGAATCAAACCCGGGTCAGCCGCGTGCAAGGCAAATGCCCTCCCCGCTGTGCTATTGCTCTGGCCCCTAAAACCCTTTTTATTTTTATTCTTATTTTGTCTTTGGGCTGCACCCAGTGTGCTCAGGGCTCCCTCCTGGCTCTGTGTCAGGAAGCCTATGGGGCACCAGCCAGGCAGGGCATGTGCCCGGCCCCGCACTGCAGCTCTGGGCCCTGAAAATGTACTTCGGGAGAGGAAGAGCAGACAGGCCTGCCGGCCGCCCACAGCAGTCTTAGGGGATAAGAACAGGGACACATGCACACTCTGAAGAGGATGGAGCCCCCCACAAATAATAACCCCCCCCCAATGGCAGCGGGGCCTCAACCATCTTAACCTTAATCCTGTGGGGTGGGAGGAGGCACAGGGGAGACCTCCTCCCTTGTGCCCCCCTCAAACCCAGACCACCACGGGGGACCGGCACGGGCAGACAGCAGTGGACGGCGGGGCAGGCCTTGGAGCAGGTGAGGTTGGGTCCAGCCCAGAGGCTCTGCTCACCTCCCTGTCCCCAGCTTCCCATGCCCCGGGTGCCTGCCGTTCTCACCTCTCCCTCCCTTTATCAGTGAACTTCAGAGAGCTGGAGTTGGGCACACATTTTGCTTGTCTCTGCTGGTGGATTTGGGGGCACAGGGGGGGATGTGCTCAGGGATCAAGGTTCAGGGAACCTGGGGATCAATCCGGGGTTGGCCGTGTGCAAGGCAAGTGCCTGACCTCTCCGGCCCCTGCACACATTCTGACTGCAGTTCTTGGGGCCGATGGTTCATTCTGCAGTGGTAAGGCTGGGATACGTTGGGGGTGGGGTGTGTGTGTGTTGGGGAGGGGGTCATGCGCTTTAGTAGAGATACACACACACCTGGCATGCAGTGATGGAGATGGACATCCCAGACGCCCAGTGCACAGAGCGGCCACAGGAAGCAGACCCACAGCTGTGCTTGTAGGGTACGAAGCTTGTGTGGCAGAGGACCTACCACGGGCCCTATGTCCACACGACTCCCTCTCGCCTGAAACATCCTAATGATGAATCCCAGAGCCTGTTGATGCCCATGGCTCCCTGGGCTCCTCTACTTTACTTTTAAAAATTTTTTTTCCCTGGCAGTGTCACACCTGGCAATGCACGGGGGTTCCTCCTAGCTCTGCACTCAGAAATTACTCCTGTCGGTGCCCAGGGGACCTTATGGGATGCTTGGGAACTGAACCCGGGTCAGTCGCATGCCAGGCAAACACCTTTCCTGCTGTGCTATCACCCCAGCCCTGCTCCACCTTCCAACAGGCTCCAGTGTTGGGCTGGTGGCAAGGGAGGCTGCAAGTCGCCTCCAAGAACAGTGACAAACATCCAGCCCAACAGAGTGTGGCTAGAACTCACATTCTGGGAGAATTTCTGGTAGAAATTTAAAAATATGCAACTAGGGAAGGAGAAATGGGGCCTGAGCCTGGTCCTCAGAACCTCACACTTAGGGCGCTGGGCCCCCAGGGTGGGTGAGCTCATGTCTGGGGCCACCGTGATGCCGCAGGGTCCTAAGCACATTCTGGAAGGCTTCCAGGCCCTGCTAGCTGGGGTGCTGGCTCCCTGGGTGCTCAGCCAAGTCCCGTCTCACCAGGGCCAGAGAGCCTCGGAGACATGCCAGGGCCGCCATGGGCCAAGCCGAATCCTGGGTCGGTGGCCACCGTGTCCACCTTACAGGCCTGGTGCTTGTCATTATAGGTCACCGCGTCCTCCTTACAGGCCCTGTCCCTGGCACTATAGGTCATCACCCTCCACTGACTGCAGTTTGCCTGATGATCCCCCTCCACACCCGCAGGCAGGGGGAGCCCTCCCTCAGGGGACATGGGCTAACATCTGGCATCTGAAGAGCTCCGGCCACTCACAGCGGTTCCTTACCCTGAGGGCTCCGTTGAAACACAGCCCACGGTTGTTGGGGGACAGAGTGTGGCAAAGACAGACAGACGCAGACCGCGGGGGCTTCCCTGCTCTCCCTTCTGGTGCTGAGACCACCTTCTGTCTGCAGGGGGCAGCACGCGCTGATGAATAAGGGATTTCTGAAGCTCCTGAGACAGGACCCCGCTGTGCACTGCTGCCGCTTACAGGGTCCCGCAGAGTTTCCTGCCTGCAATTCAGCTGGCCCGGGCCACATGGGCACACGGATGTCCGCAAACAGGCATGATGATCACGCTTTACCAGAGGGAGAGGCAGGAGCCGGTCCCAGTCCTGGGCTCCCCAAACCACCCCAGGGATGCAAGAACTGGAAAAGAAACTTGTTGCTTTGGGAAAACTCAAAATTTTTTTTTTCTTTTTGGGTCACACCTGGCGACGCGCAGGGATTACTCCTGGCTCTGCACTCAGAAGTTACTCCAGGCGGTGATCAGGGGGACCATATGGGATGCTGAGAATCAAACCTGGGTCGGCTGCATGCAAGGCAAACGCCCTACCCGCTGTGTTATCTCTCCAGCCCCGAAAACTCAAATTTTTTGAAAAATTTTTTCGAAAAAACAATTTCATCCCTCATGCCTCCCTACAGACACCCTAAATGGTTCACAGTGGGAGAGCCCGGGGGTCAGAATTGCCTGCCGGCTAGGACCCCTGCCCCATGTCCCAGCATGCCTCTGGCTGCTGCCCGTTCCTGAATGGTCAGTTCTGGGGTGTCGGTGTCATAGATCAGCAGCTGGAGCCTGCTGGCTCCGTGGCCATGTCCGGTCAGTGTCCTGGCTTTTTTTTTTTTTTTTTTTTTGCTTTTTGGGTCTCACCCGGCGATGCACAGGAGTTACTCCTGGCTCTGCACTGAGGAATTATTCCTGGCGTTGCTCAGGGGACCATATGGGATGCTGGGAATGAAACCGGGTCAGCTGTGTGCGAGGCAAACGCCCTACTTGCTGTGCTATCGCTCCAGTCCCAGTGTCCTGGCTTTGTGGTTCCCACCCACGACCAGCAACACAGCTTGACATGCAGAAAAAGATGTGGGGAGGGAGCCAATTCTGCCCATTCTGAGCGGACACAGGACTTTCCAGTTTCTGCCCACTGCCACTGGGGGGTGCCAGGCTCTGCCTGCAGAGGGTCTGGGCAAAGGCCAACTCCAGAGACAGAGGGAGCCCGGAGCCAGGATGGATAGAAAAGCAGAGGGCAAGGACCGAGATGGTGACCTCGCTGGGCATGTGGGCTATGCATTGCTCACCCCGTTATTCTGAGTCAGGTGTGTTATGCCACAGGAGGTGGGGTTTGGTGTTGACTTTTGGGCCACACCCAGGAGTGCTCAGGGCTTACTCCCAGCTCTGTACTCAGGGATCACTCCTGGCAGGCTCTGGTAACTATCTGGGGTGCTGGGGAATGAACCCAAGTCTGTTGTGTGTGGGCTGCATGCAAGGCCAATGCCTTACCCTCTCTGCTCTCTCTCCAGCCCCTCCCGGGGTGTTCGCCATGAAGGAGGTTTGGGGAACCCACTGCCAGGCCACCCAAACAGAAACAGAGACCCAGCAGGGTCCCTGCACACCGGAGGGGGTCGGTTCTGCCTACAGCAGCACCCTGGTCAGTGCACGGGTGAGAACCTGTCAAGACCAGTGGCTCTGGGTGCCAACGTTGGCCCCCTGGGCAGAGACGCCTCTTGGCACAAGAGAGGAACAGAATTCTGGGCTTTTAAACCTATGCCCAGCCAAGGAAGCAACGAGCTGAGAATAGATGGATTCAATCAAAGCTGGAATCTGTATGCGAGAGATGTGAAGAGCCTTTCCGAAGGCATTTGCTGAGAACTCCTTGGATGTGGACTTGCTTTCAGAAGTAGCAAAATGGCTTGCAAAAGAGTCGCTCCTAGAAAAACCTGAGCTGGCTGCCAGCAGCTGCAGAGAGCTGTGCAAACGGGCAAGCTAGCCCGTGGTGCGCAGAAAGCTAGCCTGGGGGGCACGGACCTCTGTTCTGGGGACACAAAGGCTTTGAGAGGAAAGGGGTAAAGAACTTACCAGAAGCAGTTTCCCTCCCTCCTCATTTCTCTTCCGTTTCCCTTCCCTTTGGAGGGAGCTTTGTTGCAGTGCCAAGATCCGACACGGCCTCTCATGGGTAGAGCCCCCTTCGCTGCCCTTTCGAGACCCTTGCCTTAACTCTCACGTCTCAGCATTCCACCCGACAAGCTTCTGCTCGGGAACCTACGTTGGGTCTTTGATATTCCTGCCGGGGGTCACCCCAGGCTGTGGTCTGTGGTTGTAACTCTAACATGAACTTATTTTATTTTATTTGCTTTTTGGGTCACACCTGGTACTGCACAGCGGTTACTCCTGGCTCTGCACTCAGAAATTACTCTTGGTGGTGCTCAAGGGACCATATGGGATGCTTGGAACCGAACTTGGGTCAGCCGTGAGCGAGGCAAACACCCTACCTGCTGTGCTGTCGCACCAGCCCTTGATTTTATTTTTATTTATTTATTCATTTTTGCCTTTTGGGTCACACCCAGTGATGCACAGGGGTTACTCCTGGCTCTGCACTCAGGAATCACCTCTGGTGGTGCTCAGGGGACCATATGGGATGCTGGGAATCCAACCTGGGTCAACCTCGAGCAAGGCAAACACCCTACCTGCTGCACTGTCACTCCAGCCCTTGATTTTATTTTTAGAAAGAATTTTCCCTTAGTGCGTCTGCCTTGCACGCAGCCAACATGGCCGACCCGAGTTCGATTCCTCCGCCCCTCTCGGAGAGCCGGGCAAGCTACCGAGAGTATTCGATATTCCAGACACAGTAACAACAAAGTCTCCAATGGAGACGTTACTGGGCCCGCTCGAGCAAATCAATGATCAACGGGAGGGCCTTTACCTTTTACCTTTACCTGACTTGGATGTATCTTAGAGGCTGTGACGGGTCCATAAAGCAAGGGAGCTGCTGCTGGTGACTGGTTTACCTGCACTTCTCAGGCCGGATTAAGGATGTGTGTCTTTACTTGCACCGGGGGAGGCTGGCGGGTGGGCAGGGCAGGATGGGGATGCGGACACCACCTCATGGGCAATCACTGCCCGGATGCTAGCTGTCCGGATCCATCCAAACCGGCTGAAGGAGTTTTCTGTCCCCCCTCCGCCTCCTACCTTTTGCCCAGAGCCCCTCGAGCACACAAGGCTCCTCTCCCGGCAGCCCCTCTGCTCTCCCTGTGCATCTGCAGGGAGCTTTGTCAGCCCGTCGGGGGCTGCCCCGAGCTCCCCAGTGTCCTCGGCTGCACCTACCCACTCGCAGCTTGAAGTCGTTGAAGGAGTGCTTGTTGATGGCATCCAGCTTGGCCACCAGGGCGAAGGCAAACTCCACCATGGTGCCAATGTGCAGGTGCTGCCGCTCGGGCTCCTGCGGAGAGACGCGAGCGACGGTGAGCAAGCGGGCGGTTGGGGTGGCCCAAGCCAGACACGAGTTGATGGATGCAGGGGAAGGTTGCATGGTGGGGAGGAAGTGGGGAGGGTCCCACTGTGGCCATCAAAGACAGACAGAGGGAGGAGGTTCCACGCGGAAAGCGTACCACCTCGGTTCAGATTTGAATGAAAGGGTATAAAGGTCATATGCTATTTGGCCAAACATCCGGTGTGGCCAAAGGCAGACACTGGAGGAGGGAGACAGTGGAACGCACCAAAGAAAGATGCAAGGGTCACACGCAGTCACTTCCGGGTCACTTCCAGCAATGCCCACTACAGACACGGCGGAGGGGCACAGCCCACCAGAAGGAGAAGGGGTTTACGCCTGGGCAAGTTGCAGACCCTGGGGACCATGGGATCGATGAACCTACATGGGGACTGGGCATCAGGAGTTGCTGGGGCTAAGTGAGTCCCGGGAGGAACTCTGCCCAGGTGTCTGCTGCCCGTTCACTTCGGGAGCTCCATGCACGAAGCTGGCAGTGGGCACAAAGCTGATTCGCAGATTCTCCATGGGCACTGCCTCCCGCTGCGTCCCCGGCCAAATCTCTCCTAGAGTCGGGGAGAGCCCCTCACCCTGCCCCGGAGGACCTGGACAGACCCAGGGGTGGGGTGGTCATGGACGCAGCTGGGGGCACTGTCTGTGTGTCCCCTTATGGTGGGTTTCCATGTCATCGGCCAAGTGCCTTTGGGGACCTCAGGAGGCTCTCTCTGCTGTTTTGTCAGGGGCCTCAGCACAGTGCTCAGGGGTCCTGCAGCCCAGCGTGGGGGGCCCTTGGTTACACGCATGGACTGGGCCATGGGGGGGGTCTCTTGGCCATCATGAGGGGCAGTACTGGGAGGCAGTACGCAGGCCCTCATGTGCAGGCACTTCTGTAGCAAGGCTTGTGGACCAACCCCCAAACCCACTGGGGGCTGTACGGTGAGGGAGCTGTAGTGAGAACGGGCACGGGCGTGGGTCTGCTGCTTTAAGCCCTCTCCTGCCTCCACATGCATGACTTGGTTTCTGAGGTTGGTGCCTGAGGTCTCAGGGCAGTTCATTCCTGAGAGTGACCTGAAGGCAGGGGCCCTTCTCCCAGGAACACGGGAGGCGCTGGTGCTGGCAGCGCCCAGAATAACCTCCTAGTGTCCATTCTACCTGGGCTTCCCATCTGTGTCCCCCAGCTCAGGGGTGGACGCCAAGCCCTCCTGGGTGGTCCCCATCTCTCAAGGAGGCAATGGGTTTCACTGGCAGCAGCCTTGGGAGTGAGACTCGGTCCCAGAGGGACCCCACAGACCCCGACCCCTCTGTCCTGAGAGGTGCTGGGGCCCTGGAGGAGGAGGTGGACCCCACCAGGGTCAAATTCCTGCATCTCCTGGCCCAGAACAGTGAGAAAGGGAGGCTAGTGGAGGGCCCCACAGGGCCAGGTGGGCACTAGCTTCTGGCTCCGGCACTGTGTGATGGAGAACACTGTCAGGAGTTGGGATAGAGCCCGAGCACTGCAGGGTGTGGTGCATGATGTCACAGGCTGTGGGCTACCAGCCTGGGCAACCAGAGACACCCTAAGGGTCCTAGCCGCTCCCTGGGCATCCTGACTCGGGACTGCCGTTCGCAGCCAGACCAGCAGCAGATCTGGCCCGATGGCCACTTTCTCAGAAAAAGGAACCCTGCCCGGCCCCTTGGACACCCGCCCTCTGAGGGAGACAGGAAGTGCCCTCACCCTGGGACACCAATCCCGGGAGGACTAGCTTCGGCTGGGGCTGCAGCTCGCCACGTGGGGGACGCATCTGCTGCCCTGCTGTCTCCGGCCACGTTCTCCCTGAACGGTCTCTGGCCTCTGCCTCTTCCTTCCCCAGCATGAGTCTTTCCTGAACACGCTTCTTGCTTGCTGCTCTCTCCTTGCTTGCTTTCTCCCCCGCTGGAGAAGCCCGTGTTCCCTCTCGACCGCTGTATTTATTCTCTTTCCCTTTCCTCGTAGCTTTCTCATTACCTTTTGTTCAATAAAAACTATCTTGCTTAGGGGCTGGAGCGATAGCACAGTAGGTAGGGTGTTTACCTTGCACGCGGCCAACCTGGGTTCAATTCCCAGCATCCCATATGGTCCCCTGAGCATCGCTAGGAATAATTCCTGAGTGCAGAGCCAGGAGTGTGACCCCTGAGCATTGCTGAGTGTGACCCAAAAAGCAAAAAAACCCCCCTATCTTGCTTAAGTAAAACAAAAACAAGCTCCTGCACTATGAGCACCACAGGATCTAGCCCTGCCAGGGAGTCTGGTGGGGTAGGGGGTGGCACCGAGCTGGCCCTAGAGTGGGGGGGGGGGCACGCAGGGAGGTTTGCTCTGCAGTGGCCTCTGTTCTGGCCAGGGAGAGGCCTGGGGGGTCCTGTGGAGACAGGTTCTGCTGTGGGGAGGTGCGGGGCAGAGTGGCAGAGAAACGTGGGCAGGACACACAACAAACCCTGCCAGAATGAGCTGGAACAATCACAGCAACCCCCAGGCACAGCCTGGCCTGCTGGAGTTTGTTTGGATACAACACATTGGTGCATCTCCTTATAACCATGGGAGAAACACACCATCATCCTGAAGAACGCGCCATCATGTCACTGAAAAGCGAGCAACCATCATCCCAACGCTTCCTAGGTCAGAATATAAGCACAATGCTTGGGGCCTGGGGCGGGGTGGGGAAGCTTTGGGCCCCCTCAGACATCTCCACCCTCCTGCCCCCTGCTCTGGGGCGGCCCCTCATCTCCCGCTCGGGTGCTGGTGACGCATGTCCTGCCACTGGAAACGGGCCGTGACAGCAGGAGCATGACCCGAGCCTGGTTCGGGTGAGCCCCGAGCAGCAGTGCCCTGGAGCCTGGACCTGCTGAACTGCCATTAACTCTGAGGAGAGCGCAGCTGTCCTCGATAGCTGTGCTGAGCAGGGATCTGGGCCCGGCCTGGCCTCTCCTGGCAGGAGTTCTGGGTCTGATGCTCCTGTGGGCCGGCTCAGTGGGGCAGTGACCTGCGATTCCAGCCTCACACAGGTCAGGCGTGGTCTGTCCGCTTGAGCCACCCTCTCCTTGGCCCAGACGCCAAGACCATGAAGACCATATATAAGTGCCAGAGATAAGCCCAGTCATGAGTTAGGGAGGGACAGGCTCCCTCGCTGGGCTCTAGGAGGCTCTGGGACACAGCAGAAGGCTCTGGGGGAGGCATTAGAGGGTGGTGAGGAGTGTGGCTAAGGGTGTATGTGTGAAGCGTGCCACGGAGCTTTAGCTTTCTGCTCCACCCACAACCACCACCACCACCAGAAATGGCTGATAACCCACGGCTCCCAGGAGAGGCTGGGAGTAGCTTCCTCAGGGAGACGCTCTTTCCCCTAGAGAAGTCGTCAAGGAAAGAGCGAGCGACATCCCTGGGAGCACAGCTTAGCTCTCAGCACCTGGAACACGGGGAGGGGAATGAATGTGGGGGGTTGGCAGAGGGTGAACTCCAGAGGGGCAGAGCCCGGGACAGCCGCTGGCTTTGCTCAGGAGCAGGCGGGGATGGTGTCAGGGGTAGGAAACGCGCCAATGCCGAGTGTCACCCTGCATTTCCCGGCCACCGCACACACGCCTCTTAATAGCCACCAGTCGGCTGACATAATGCAACCAACCATTTGATCATGTTGTCCTTAGGCTTAAAATTAGAAGCCATTGTTTGGTTTAGAAAATACAAACGAAGCACAAGAAAGGCAGGCCCTGGAGCCCGGCTCCACCGAGGCGTTGAAAGCCCCCTCAGTGCTCATTTTCCCTGTGGCCAGCTGCGCTGGGCTGCCAGCAAGCGCCAGGGTAATTGCAGAGAACAGCTACATTCCAGAAGTCGGTTCTCCAGGTACCCGCACCTTCTTTTATCTGGAATTAAGGAGAGCACATCGTAGCCTTGGAGAAACTCACTATACTTTACAAAACCAAAGTCTTTTGTTGGCAAACTAAATATCCTCTTAATGATAGATAGAAAAAAAATCTTTTTTTTGGTTTGCAACAAGTATTAAGCTCATTTTAGATAGGTTACAAATGTCAAAAATGACATTCATTTTGTATAAAAAACAATATCCACATTCATAATTATCGAGCACAATTTCCACCCCCTCAATCAAGTGGAATGTGCTTTTCTTTTACAAGCTTCTGCTTCCAAATACTTTCAGGAGAGCCTTCTCAAGAATGGAACTAAATGCTCTAATTAAAAATGCTCACAGTGGGGCTGGAGCGATAGCACAGCGGAGAGAGAGTTTGTCTTGCACGTGGCTGACCCAGGTTCGATTCCCAGCATCCAATAGGGTTCCCCAAGCACGGCCAGGAGTAACTCCTGAGTGCATGAGCCAGGAGTAACCCCTAAGCATTGCCAGGTGTGACCCAAAAAGCAGTAAATAAATAAAATTCTCACGCCGAGTAAAATCTTCTTGCATAGCTCTGACATCACGTTTCATACATGTCCCCGAACTCTGACAGCTATTCCACTGGAGGCAACAGTACGGAGAGGCAGAGCAGCACCACCAACCACGGCTGTATCATTATTGCCATCCCAGAAGGTTGGCCTGTCACCTAGTCACGTCTTCCCAACAGCCTGGTGACAAGGACCCGCCTTTCCATACAGAACTCAAGCGCAGAATGCTGAGCTACGTGACAAGCATTGCCGTGAGCCCCATCCTGCTCCTCCTCCCAGAGCCAGTCAGATCTGGATGAGGAGGCAGTAGGGAAACAGCCCAGGGCAGCCAAGAAAATGCACTGTGACGAACAGGGAGGAGTGGTGGGCTGGGGGGACACAAGGCAGGAAGTGGCAGTGAGCAACCGGCACTGAGCACTAGAACCAAAGAGCAAAGGAGCCCAGAACCACTGAGCCTGGGTCCAGACCATGAGGAGTCTGGGGGCTGCAGGCTCAGTCCCACATGCCTCGGGAAGCGCAGGCTGGCTTGCCGCAGGGCGTCTGGAGGCACCCACTGTGAGAAGAAACTGTGCCTTAGCGTCAAGACCTTCCAGGGGGTGATCCCTCCCCCCATGCTTGACAAACTTTCCACCCATCAGAACAGTGCTGGCAACACCCCATTTGTATAGAGCTGAGGGCAATGGCTTCAGCAGAGTATCTCGGCCCCAAATGCAAATGCAATACGGGATGTCTCTTCCGGCCTGAAGGCCCGTGTGTATCTGCTCTGCTGTGTTAGCTGTTCAGCTCCTGAGCTGACGGGTGCAGAAACTAGCGCAGGGGCAGAGAGGGTGTGAGCAGGGCGCTGAGGGATGGGGGAAGAGGTGGGACCTCACCACTATCTGCCCTTCCTGGTCTCCACACGACCCAGAAAGGCAAGCTGCCAGACTGCCGTGCCTCAGTTTCTCCATCAATGACATGGGATGGGAGGTGGGCGGGGTGTCCTCTACGCTTGCTAGAAGGAGGTGCTGGCTGTGTGTTCCACGTGGGGGTGAGGAGAGGAGGGTGTGATTAAGACAGTGAAGGTGGGGAGCACGTGGGCAGGCAGCCAGCCAGCCAGCAAGGCCCCTGCTGGGCACTGGGGGGGGGGGGGGTGGAGGGGATGCCACAGGAGATGTGGAACCCGCTGGGGTCTGGGGGTCATACAAACATGCCTCCACTTCCCAGAAAGCTGCAATGATGTGTGGCCTTGCACGGAGTCAAGGCTGGACACGGGGTGAGGAGGCAAGTGCTGGAGGCAGAGAAGGAGGCAGAAGCCCAGCACAACTGGTGCAGGTGCCGGACAGGCTCTCGGGTGGAGGGGACGGGGCATCTGCCCTGAATCGGAGTCACTGGGGCCTCAGGAGATGGGGACTCCAGCCCCGTGCTCATGTACGCAGCAAGTGTAGGGGTCCCCCAGAAGCCACAGGGACCCCCATGGGATTCTGATGCAGGTGGTGGGTTTGCTCCACTGGGGGGTCCTGAGTAGAACTGGGTGGATCTGCAGGAGAGCTGAGTGCCCGCCTGAAGTGGGAGGGGGGCCGAGGGGAGGAGAGGGATGGGGAGGGGCAGGGAGGAAAGAGGGTGGGGGACAGTGAGGCAGTTCTGAAGGTGCAGATGGACAGTAAGAAGCCCATCATCAGAGCTGTGTGTCCCTGGGAAATGGGGTGGGGGTGACCAGCCCCTTAGCCCATGTCCAGGCAGTGGACCACAGTTGGGCAGAGACTGAATGCTTGGAGGGGAACAGGGCCCCCCTGAGGGGAGAGAACGGGGTGGGGAAGGCTGTGGACAGTGTCCCTGAGAGGGACCATGGGCAGGACATGGGGAGAAGAAGGCCGTGCTGGCCAGTACCTGGGCATGCTCCTGGCTGGGCACAGCGCTCAGCCCTGTCGCCGCCATGTATGTGCTGCCAATGGTCTTGATCTTCTCGACGCCACTGAACTTGGGCTTGGACAGCAGCTGGAAGCAAGGACAGTGGCCGTTACTCTGCAGGGCCTGATGGATGCGCCTCAGAGACCACAGGGGCAGGGGACAGGCACGACCAGCCCGGCCTCCTTTATCCTGCAGCCATGGTCTGAGCTTGCCCTCAGGAGGTTCAGGGTGTGGCTGACGTGAGCAGATGAGGAGGAAAGAAGAACAATCTAGAATAATTCCTTCCCGTCCCTACCTGCTGTTTTCCAGTCCCGTCTCCACCCAGGTCCTCCAACCCACTATGATGGGTCCTGGCTGGGATGATGGGGGTGCGGGTGCAAGGAGCCCTGGAGGTTCTGCAAGGTTCTGTCCCCACTCCAGAGGTCAGAGTGGGTACAAGGGCACACGCTAAGCACGGAGAGCCTCTTCCGAACCCTGGTTCCTGCGTTTGGAGCAAATTCTTTCAAGATTCATGAAAAGCAGCTTTTGGGGAAAACCCCTGGCTATGTGCCTGGGAGCCGGGTGGAATTGAGAGGGGGGGACACCCCCCACCCAGCCACGGGCAGCCACTTCTCACTGCAGACCAGATGCAGTGGGGATACTGGACAGCTACGGCCATGGCCATGCTCTTAACTTACAGGTAAGTATCATGGCTGGCCCATTTCCATGCCAGGGTAGCTCGCAGCTTGCCCTGGGTCCATCAGTCCTTTGTCGGGACCCTGCTCTTGGCGTGCTAGGAACTAAGGGCAACTGAGGCTTAAGTCAAGTAAATATGGATGTCCAGGGGTAAATATTATTTTGGAGTCAATTAACGGAGCGATAGCACAGTGGTAGGACATTTGCTTTGCACACAGCCAGCTGGGCCGAACCAGGTTCAATTGTTCTGCCCCTCTCGGAGAGCCCGGCAAGCTACTGAGAATATTTCGCCTGTACGGCAAAGCCGGGCAAGCTACCCATGACATATTCAATATGCTAAACACAGTAACAACAAGTCTCACAACGGAGACGTTACTGGGCCTGCTTGAGCAAACTGATGAGCAACGGGAGGACAGTGCTACAATTAACTCCCACGTTACAAAGCATAGCATGAACTGTCTTCCTGTGTCTATACAAAAGGGACATTGCTAAACCATGCAAAGGACATAAAGGAAAGAGAAAAGCAATTTAGGATTATTAGTGCCTGATGGAATTGGGTGTGCCTCAGTTGCCCTGTTGTGGGAGTGGCTCAATAAACCTTAAGCTCCCTGCAGGAGGAGCAAGGACAAACCAATCCAAAACAGCTAGGACACAGCCAGGGTGCTGTGTGGAGAAGGGCCGCCTCAGAGAGGCAACCTCTGCCTCCCAGCATTCCCCGAATCATGGTGGGCCTGTGCTCATTGTCCAAGCCCCTTGAGGACAGGACAGTGAGACAGAACCTTAAAGCCAGAGCTGAGCTCTGGGGGCCAAGGGGACCAAGAGTCCAATTCCTCACAGGGGCCTAACAGGTGACACAAATGAGACAGGACAGGGCATGATGAGGCTGTCGGGTCCCGCATACCTGGTGACCCCTGCATCTGGGGCTGGAGCATCTGTTCACTCCTACCCCATGGCATATCTCCCACAGCTCCATGCCTCAGTTCCCCTGCTTTCTGCCCCCAAAGGTCCTATCCAGAATGTTCTATGCCTCTGCTGGCTGTGACTTAGCCTCATCTATGAAATAGAGGGGCCCACACCTGGGACCTGGAGTCACCACAGTGTGAGGAACGATGGTCACTGTTGCCAGGGGAGATGGCACAACCAAGGGCACCGGGGCAGAACCCAGAGGTGGCGGGGGGGGGGAAAAGGTCTCAACCGGGAAGGACAGAGGTCGCTGTGCACAGCAGGACAGAAGGAGGCCGGGAGAGAAGCACAGCCAAGGGAACCAGGAAGAGAAAGATATTGGATGTCACCCATCGTGTCTGCACTATAGGGAAATAAATGGATGAATGGGAAAGCAGAATAAAATACAAAATAAGCAAAGTTAAAGTATGCCAAGGACACTGGCAACAGCACAGCAGTGAGGGGGGTGTGGAAAGGTGTAGGATTTGCTATGAAGAGTTGAAATGGATCAAATGGAAAGGAAGTCAGGTGAGCTGAAAACAACAGATGTGCCCATTTAAAACCAGGAAGTGAGGCATGGGTTTCTCCGTGAAGGCAGAAGAGGGAATATTGAACAATGACACCTAACTCAAACTCTAAACATACACGGTCCTTCCAAGGATGTATTTACCCTCCCGTGGCTTTCCCAGCAATAACAGCCATCCCCACATGCCTTTCACTTGGTATCTTCCAGACCCCGGCATAGGCCTGCCCCAATGTGCCAATGATCAAGTCTATTCATCATGGGGTTTTTTGTTTGTTTGTTTTAAATAATGCATAAAGGGAAGGTCCCCAAGCATTTTCCAGGAAATTTAGTAGCACACTGGAGGAAGACTATTTCACCAATCTTGTAGCTGTTCCTTGCAGACACACTAGCTTCAAAAATAAAATGCGCCGTGTCCCTAGAATCAGGAGCCAACGCTTTCACACAGAAACACACGCCACCAAGGTGGCCGTTTAAAGCAGGGCACGCCAGAGACACAGTGCAGGGGAATCTGGGTGTGTGTGTGTGGGGGGTGGGGGTGTTCCATGCTGCCTGCCTGCCCAGAGGGTGCTCTGGGCTTCTGGGTGAGGGTCCCAGCACCTACATCGTCAAAGTCGGCGATGATCTCGTTGAGCAGCCGCAGGCACTCCAGGCCTTCCTTGTTCACATCCGACTCTGTGTAGAATTCTTTGAAGTCGGGGATGGAGGCAAACATGACGCAGACGCAGTCATAGGACTGGTGGTATAAGTCCTGTGGGGAGGGAGCTGTCATTGAGCTCGGGAACCCCGACATCTGCGCAGCCCCACCTGGGAGCTCCAGCCCCGCTTAGATGTTGGCACCAGCCCCAGAAGCACCCTTGGCCCCCCGTGTGGGAGTGTTGATAGTAGGGGCTGAATTCTCAAACAGATACAGGAATAGTCACACTGACATGCTGCTCAGAAGATTCCAGCATGCTGCCTTTTTCAAGAGAACTGTCCAATTTCCCTACATCCTGCATCTCCGTAAATGTATCATGTCCAGCTCCCCATTCCCTTATGTCTGCCAAATCTAGAGACGCTACCTATTTTGTGTTTCTCTTTTACATTTTTAAATCATCTTATGGTGAACCATGTGGGATGCTGAGGATTGAACCCGGGTTGGTGTGTGCAAGGCAAATGCCCTACCCGCTGTACTATGGCTCCAGCCCTCAATCATCTTATGGTGCGATTCATTTAATCATTACATTAAAGAATCAACTTTTGCTCTATTGACTGTAGCACTTATGCCATTTTTCTAGTTTATAGAATTTTGCTCATTTGATTATTTCCCTCCTTCTCCTCGTTTACATTTGGCAAAATATAATGTGTTTGTATACACATATGTACGTATATAAATTTATACATGTATGAGTACAAATACGTATTTATAGATATAAAAAAATTTCTATAAAGGACTAAATAAAGGAGGAAAAATATACAACGATGGCAAATCCTCACTGCTAGAGAAAAAGTAGACCAAATCATTATTGCTCCTTATTAATATACACAAAAAATTTCTAATGACTTTGAAGTGTTTCATAGTATAAAGGAAAGACATGGAATCAGACCCATGTGAGTTCTGACCTGGAATTGGGATCAGCCCCTTTCCCGGGGATGGGAAACACACCCCATCCACCCCATGCCCCCAGAGTGACCGGGGGTCAGGGTCTGTGTGTGTGTACGCGTGTGTGTGTACCTGCATGTGTGTGCACATGTGTGCGTGCACATTTATGCATGCGCGCGCGTGTGTGTGTGTGTGTGTGTGTGTGTGTGTGTGTGTGTGTGTGTTGTGTGCATGAGATTCCTCCGGCGAGGATCACCCATGCCAGGGGAGAAAAACAGGCTGAAGTTGGGTGCAGGAGTAAAGCCATCCCGATGGTCTGTTCTCTGAAACATGAAGTCAAGTCATTTTCCTTGAAAGGGGTTGGAAAACGTCCCCCCAGGCTTGCTGCTGGTAGTGGTGGTGGTGAAATTCTTCAGTTTTAATGAATTTTATTATTTTTTTCCCAGACTCTTATGACTTTCGTACATCTGGAATATCTGCTTCCAGTGGGGCGTTTGTGGTTTGGCAGGTGCTGTGCTAATTGCGCTGTGAGTTTTGGCTGTAGAAATCAGCGACAGCCTTGGGTCCTGCAGGGAGTTGGTGGGAGGACTGGGTGGGGCGGGGGCTGCAGAGACCCTTCTCCCCAGAACCTGGCCCCTCCCCCACGTGCTGCCCTCCCAGCCTTCCTTCCAGGGAACCCATGCTTCCTGTCCCTCATGCTTCCTGTCCCTCGAAAGGAGGAGTCCACCTTTCTGTCCATGTGTGGGCAGGTTCCCAGTCATGGGTGCAGCCTTGTGACATGCCAAGCTCCTTCTTGAACTGTCAGGGAAGCTGCCAGCCTTGGTCCCCGGGGGGTGCGTGGTGCCCCTGTTGCGGGCTGGTGAGGACAGTGTTCCCCCCAGCAGGGCGAGCAGGGGCCACAGCACTGCCTCCTGTGGAATGCCAGCACCACCCACTGCACTTTCCAGAACTGGGCGTGACCAGGGGTCAGGGGAGCCCACGGGTTGTGGTGACCTCCCAAGGGGATTCAGTTCCCCAGGAAGCTCACACACCCTCTAACTACAAGCAGCTCGTCCACCTCCCCTGGACGACGATGGGCACATTCTGACACTGGGCCGGGCCCCGGGGCCCCACTTGCCCTGCCCGCCGGCCAGCCTGCTCGCCTGACCTCGTTCTTGAGGCTCCTGGCCAGGAAGTGCTCGGCCACGTGTGCGGGCAGGACGTTCTCCAGTAGCACGCGGTTCAAGTTCTCCATGGTCTCGATCTCCTCCCGCTCTTTGTTGAACTTGTTCTTCCACAGGAAGTCTAACCTACAGTAATATTCATTCTGTTACAAGAGGACACAGAGGTAAAGAGACAATAGGCATCGTGTCCTGCGGCGGGCGAGGCGTCCACACAGAGAAAATCAAAGAACACCCCCCCCCCCCCACCCACCCAGCAGAACGGCCCTGCCCCTTGCACCCTCGTACCAACCCCAGAACTTCCGTCCCACCAGAACACTGACTTGAAAAATAAACCGACTAAAGCAAACTCGTTTGGAAGGGACCCAGGCTCAGCGCCAGAGGGAGGAAGCGCCACAAAAGTGTCCTCGTGGCCGCGTCCCCGTGAGATGGCTTGGATCATATTTTTTGAAAAGAGACATCACAGAATATAAATAGTGAAGGAGTGAAAAATAAACAACACATTAGGAGACAGTGCCTTGTTGAAGGACGTGCATTTAAAAGATAATGGTGTGCGTGCAAGGCAGTTTGCCTTTAAAATTTGAAAATCCATTTTCCCCAGCCACAAATTAGGTAATTAAGTATTCATTGTGAAAATATGTATTCTTTCTCATTAGGGATGGCATTGTGCTGAGAATAGCATTATATTTAGACAGAAGTTCATCCTGGAATAATTTAATCGGGAGAGTGCCTGGGACTAAAATATGTGTTTTGGCCTCAGAACGTATTGGAATTAAGTTTGTCTTCGAAAAAAAAAACCAATGCCTAGACTCAGGGAAAGCTGGGAAGGGGGCTCTGGGAGGAATGGGCGCTGGGACTTTTACATAGCATGAACACACTGGAAATTTGGGGAGTGGCAAATTCCACTGACTTCAAAGGTAGCTCTCACACCATAACCCTGAAATTCTACAATACCGTGCATCAATTGCTCGAGCGGGCCCAGTAACATTGTGAGACTTGTTACTGTCTTTGGCATATCGGATACGCCATGGGTAGCTTGCCAGGCTCTGCCGCGCGGGCGAGATACTCTCGGTAGCTTGCCAGGCTCTCCGAGAGGGGCGGAGGAATCGAACTCAGGTCGGTCATGTTGGCTGCGTGCAAGGCAAACACCCTACCTGCTGTGCTATCGCTCCAGCCCTGCGTCAATTGAAAAAAAAAAAGGAAAAAAGAAAGAACAAATAAAGAGAAAAACAATGTTTTTACAAAACACTGGTAGGAGCTGGAGTGATAGCTCAGTGGGTAGGGCGCTTGCTTTGCATGTGGACAACCCGGGTTCGATTCCCAGCATCCCATATGGTCCTCTGAGCACCGCCAGAGGTAATTCCTGAGTGCAGAGCCAGGAATAGCCCCTGTGCATCGCCGGATGTGACCCCAAAAAGCAAAAAAATAAAAAAAAATAAAAAACACTGGTAAAACTGAGATGTCTGTGTATAAACAAGACAGTCTCAGGTGTGGGGGTCCGTCTACAGTGGCTGAGAGCCACGGGATTGGTCTCCAGGTTCACCAGCGTCTGTCTAGAGAACAGGAGATCGGCAAATGCAAAAATTAAACGCAGGGCATTGTTCTACAATTGGACTTTACAAACAAGGTACAAAAACCCCAGCACACACAATTTATTCATGCATAAATGATAAATTTTTTTTTTAAATTCACATTTCAAACCCTAAACGAACACCGGGTCAGGCTCATCTGTGTATGAAATGCTCAGAGTCCTTCTCTCTCCTCTCCTCTCTGCCGTGGCATTAATTATTATCTCACATAGTGAGAAATGTTTGAAAAGGCTGCAAACGAGATGTTTTAAAAGCTTGTCTACATTCGATTTTTCCAGTAATACCACAATTTCTCCTACATTTTGTGTTAATAAGAGTCAGGCCATGCACCTAACCAAGAAAGTCCTCTGGTTTGGAGAGCAGATTATTTATTTGGTCTTTGGTGGTGGTGGGGGGTGGGGACGGAGAGGGAGCCCAGAGGTGAGACAATTCTCACCACACTGACAGTGGCACGTACCACTGGTGGCTCACACTTGAACATGATTTGACTAATGCAAACTGCAGTGCTGACATCACTGTGGTGGGTCAAAGGGATGGAGGGAATTCTCGGTGGTGGCGCCAGGAAGAGACAGATGCATATTCCAGCTTTGACACGAAACCCAAGGCCATGGCGTCAGCTGAAGGGGGCAGGAGGGGAGGCCGTGTACTCCAGAGATTTTCTGGCTTTTCGAGCAGTCGCTGTGGCCCAGAGCTCAGGTTCCTTCGGGAAGGAGTCGCGGCAATTGGAAGGACTCCAGGGAACCAGCAGGGCATTCTGTCACTCCCAGAGATCTCTCGGGCACAAGGCCACCCGATGTATAGCGTCTTCTCCATTACGTTTGTGAGAGAAACGCGTAGAAGTTGCCAGCAAGGAGGAACATCCCTACCCCTGGTCAGTGCTCACTCCCATGGTCAGCGCTCATTCTGCTGGTCTGAGCTCACTCTGCTGGTCAGCTTTCACTCCGCTGGTCAGCGCTCACTCGCTGGTCAGTGAGTGTTCAAAACCTAGTGGCCATGCTCTCTCCTGGGGAATTTCCAAAGAAACCACTTCCTTAGTTCCCAGGCTCCACCCTGGAGCTCGAACCCCCTTTGGGGAGGCACAGCTACCAGGCCTGGCTGAGTCTTTCCCAATGGGGTACTGTGTTCTCAATTAAGGCAATTAACAGGGCTGCAGAAAGCTTGTTTTCTTTTTTCTGAAAAAGGATGGTCAGTCAGATAAGATTAATTGGCCAGGGTCGGAGAGATAGGACAGGGGGAAGGGCTCATGTCCGGCATACTACTGACCTTGCATGCTGGGGATCAGGGTTCGATCCCTGGCATCCCATAGGGTGCCCTGAGCACTGCCAGGAGTAATTCCTGAGTGCAGAGCCAGGAGTCAGCCTGAGTACCACCGGTTATGGCCCAAAAAGCAAAACGCAAGCAAGCGAAGAGATGGGGTGCCAGTGTCCCGGCAGGAAGTGAGCCCTGGAAGCTTGCTCTGCAGGACCCCCGGAGAGACACTTCTAGTCAGCACAAAATCCCGTTTGCAGAGTCCCTGGTTCCTGGGAATGATCGCACATGATAGCAGAGCAGGTGCCTGACAATGCAATTCAGAGTAGCAAGCGCAACCCCCGTTGCTAATTTTGCCAATTAGCGTCAGTTATTGAGGTGGTGCGACTTCGCTTACAAAGTCTTTGACATCCACTGAGGCTGAACGGAAACTCCCTCGTGTCCCATATCTCCCGCTTGCGCCCTGGCCCCTGGTGGAGCATGAGAGTGACTTCCTCTGGCCCGGATCTCTCATGGCAGGGGATGGTTCTGATGCTGCCACGTGTGTTCGCAATGTGTATCCACAGTGCATGGTGGGACCCGCCCCAAGCCCATGCCCAGCCAACAGCTTACCTGTCTGCCCAGCACGAGCAGTGTGACGAAGAAGATGAAGAGTGACACGGAGCCCATGGTCTTCAGGTCCTTCCAGATGCCGGGTCTGCAGGGAGTGGCAGAAGCAGCGCAGCAAACAACAACAGAGAGGACTTAGGGGTCGCGTATGGACAAGCAGGTTTCTATCTATGTCAGACAAAGGCACGCCTGCACACACTTCAAATATATCTTTGCGCACAGACTGAGTCAAAACAAAACTCTTTGGGGAGCGTGATAAAAAAAAAACTTCCAAATTAATGCACACTTTAAAAAAATTTTGCTTAACCATAGCACCCAAAAGGAGAGAGAGAACAAAAGGGAATGTCCTGCCACAGAGGCAGGGTGGGATGGGGGTGGGGTGGGGGGTGGGAGGGACACTGGGATCAGTGGTGGTGGAGAATGGGCACTGGTGGAGGGATGGGTATTCAATCATTGTATAACTGAAACCCAAGCACTAAAATTCGTAAGTCTACAACTGTACCTCATGGTGTTTCATTAATAAAAATTTAAAAAACAAACAAAAATTTTGTTTTGCTTAATCCCAAATGCTACCAAATAGAATAGTGGGATGTTAACATTTATGCTATGGGGATGGATATGAAATCTGAATAATCTGGCATCTGATATACACCAGAAGTTTTAATAATCATGTGAAGTATGCACACAGAGTAAGAAATTGATTTCTATCAACGACTATCTTCTGGGAAGGACACATTTTATAGAATGTTCTGGCAGATAGTTACTTCTTATTTCCTTTTATCTGATGTAGTATCATAAAGGCGAAGCCCAGAGGGAGACCTTTTGGCACGCTGCCCTCTGCCACTCAGGTCTCTTAACTTTCTGGCATCTTTACCTCCCTGTCACTTGGTTGTTAAATCTAAAATTCCTGAGTGTGACTTAGGAAGCCTCCCCTACAAGCGGGCTCTGTCGAGGACAAAGATACCGATATTGTCTTTGCGTCTGTGAGTTGGGTGTTGCTTCCCGTTGGTTGATGAGGGAGGTGAGGGACCTTAAGCCCCTCCATTCAGTAGAGAGGGGAAGCCGCCTTCCCATCTGGTAATGATGGTTCAGGATTAGCCATTGGGGAGCCTGGGTGAGTGGCCACCCATGGTGGGGGAGACAGGAAGGACCACCCAGAGAGCCATATTCACTTCTGGAAAGATGGGAACGAGAACCCAGAAATAGGAGCAAGCAGGGCTGGGGTGGGGCAGGGCAAGCCAAGACAGTGGGTAGGGGTGTGTGGCTGGTCCTCCCAGCCAGCTCCTCCTCCAGCATCTTTCTCTGGGGTCTGGGCAGCTGATCTCCAGGGACATCCCAACCTCGGGGCTGGGCTTTCACAGCATTTCTTATGGGAGTTAGCCCCCACCATCCAGGGTTGGGATGAGGAGCCCTGTGCATCTCAGGACGGAGAATCTCTTCCCTGGGTGACCTTTGGACTCTGGAAGAGCTGCCAGGCTCTCTCAAACATGTGTGCAAACGTGGGAGGGGTCCCAAGCTCCCACTCTTGGATGCTCACAGGGCGAGCTGCCATTGGGCCTCAGATGCTCAGCAAGCGTGGATGGATCAGAAATCAGTGAGCGTGGATGGATCAGACATCAGTGCCAGTTACCCCTTGCGGAGAACGTGGGCAGGAGGGCCAGGGCTGCTGGGGTGGGTGGGATCTGTAGGGGTCTGGGGCTCTGGGGCCAGGTTAGGAGAGCAGGAAGGGCCTGGGGGTTGCCCAATATCCTACAGGCCAACGAAAGGCCCCTGGAGCACACATGCCACCACTGCCCCTAACGTCCAGTGTCTTAGAAAGGCAAAACCAAGACAGCAAGCACAAAGGACAGGAGTGCTGGACAGCAAAGGCCCCTGGCTGTACACAGTCACAGCTTCCTGCTTCCCATTCTCCTCAAAGCAGACACGAGGTACTTCTCTGAGGCCTCTCCCGGGAGAAAATTTGCACATCTCACTTCTTTTCCTGCCTTGGATGTGTGCGCTCAGGACACAGCTCATAAAGGGACACCCGGCTGCCCTATTAGCTGTCTACAACATTCATCAAGGGCCAGAAATGGCTCTCTGCATGCGGCAGATAAATATTACAGCATTTTTGCTCAGAGATTCTGAAAATTTATTGCAAGACTGACTTTGATTTCATTCTCCTCTTGGCTGAGATCTCGGAAAATTTCCCTAATACAATTATGTCTATTTGCAACTCAACTATCCTGAGCTTGATTACAGATTATCAGGCTCTCGTGGTGTGGAGGATGCCGGGAATTCAGTTAGGTGGAGAGAATGCAGGCAGTTGTTCTCCTGGAAGTGTTCTCATTGGTGGGCCAGGAGCACATGGGCAGCAGGCCCCTCCCTACATTTAGAGGAAGGAGAAAGGCAGTCAAGTGGTCTCGATACAAACTGTCTTCTGGGGCAACAGACGATGCAATTTCTCCTTCAGTTTCCATTGCTTAGAGAAATGTTACGCAGGGTTACGCAGAAACATTGGCCGACTTGAAAATGAACCCAATACTTCATAGAAAACCCGGCTTTGCCATCAAGATGTGAAGTGGAGAGCTAGCATACGGATTCAAATCTAGTTTGTTCTAAACGGAATATATATTCATCATGAGCTTATGGAGGCAACCTGGTGACAGAAAAGATGAGCTAAGTCAGTGGCCAGGAGGCACGTCTGGCTAGCGTCTGGCCATGGCTGAGCCCGGGCAGTGGCTTCACCCTGGAACAGAGGCCGCGGGCGCCCATGTCTTCCCCTTGTCATCTGCAAGAGGAGGTGGCAAATGTGGGAACGCACTCACCTCTCTCCACCTCCCTTTCCTCATCATGCAGCTTGCTGAGTTGTTTAGTGGGGGTGTTTATGTGTGTGCGTGAGTGTGTGTGTGAGGGTGTGCGCGTGTACATGTGTGAGTCTGTGTGTGAGTGTGTGTATGTGTGCACACACATGTGTGCATGTGAGTGTGAGTCTGTGCGTGTATCTGCGCGTGTGTGTGAATGCGTATGTGAGTGTGTGCATGTGTGTGAGTGTGAGTCTGTGTGTGTGCATGTGAGTGTGTGCATGTGTATGACAGTGCACACGTGTGTGAGTGTAAGTCTGTGTATATATGTGTGCATGTGTGTGAGTGTGAGTCTGCATGGGTGTGTGAGTGTGCATGAGTGTGTGTGTGTGAATGTGTGTGAGTGTGCATGTGCGTGCATGTGAGTGTACATGTATGTATGTGCATGTGTGTGAGTGTGTGTTGCTCTGCCCTGAGGATATACTCAGCTCTGAAGTCCTTTTTGGGTGCCCTGATTTGGGGGGACTGGGTTGCGGCTGTTTATATCCTGGGTCGAGGACAGGAAACCAAAATATCCTACAGTGCCCAGGACACAGACCAACCCCGCACACTAGAGTTCAGAGTGTTGAGTCCAGAAACCCTGGATCATTTCTGTCGAGACAGGCAAGCAACATGATGGCAGACACCAGCAGACCTGCCGGGAAATGCACCTCCAGGTGATGCTGTGTGGGCAGAGGGACCTGCCCAGCACACAAGGAACGGTACTTGGGGCCCACTTTCAGCCTGTAAGCTGTGTGAGAATGTGTGCGCGCAGCCGCTTCTCACTGTCTCTGCAGACGCCATGGAGCCCCCCGAACCACCCACTCCAGGCTCACAGGAAGGAAAGGCGGCCGGCGCTTTCCAGGCTGAGCTCGCTCCTGCCCCCTGCCTAGCCCCCCAGGAGAGGAGGCCATGGGGGCGCCTACCTGCGGAACAGCACCTGGCTGTAGTCGTCCAGCACGTGCGCGTGCGTGTGCAGGAGGATGGTGTTGTAGCCCACCAGGGCCACCATCATGATCAACATCTTGAGCTCATAGTTGACACGTAGGAAAACGGAGCAGGACAGTAGCCCCAGGATGCAGCTGTAGATGAAGTACTGTGGGCGGCAGAGGGGCAGAGAGAGGCGTCAGCCCGGGGAACGGGCACATGGGCTGGGGGCCACCGCCAGGCGCTCTGGGGAGCTGACAAAGAGACTGCGAAACCTCTGCTCTGTGCTCTCTCACGCGGTGGCCACGGCCCAGGCACACGAGACTTAAATAAATGGCGCAGGGAGAGAGAGAGAGAGAGAGAGAGAGAGAGAGAGAGAGAGAGAGAGAGAAGGGGAGCGAGGGAGGGAGAGGGAGAGAGAGGGAGAGCGAGGGAAAGAGAATGAGGGAGAGAGAGGAAGAGAGAGGAAGAGAGAAGGAGGGAGAGAGAAGGAGAAACAGGGAGAGAGGGAGAGGAAGAGAGAGAGGGAGGGAGAGAGAGGAGAGAGGGAGAGAGAGAGGGGGAGGGAGAGAGAGGGGGAGAGAGGAAGAGAGGGGGAGGGAGAGAGGGGGAGGGCGCACAGGCGAGAGGGAGTGGGCGAAGGAGGGGGTGCTGACTGGCCTGCATGCAGCTGGTCCCCCTGGCACCCACATGGCCCCGAGCCCCGCTGGATGCTCTGTGGAGTCCGGTGAGGCTCCCAGGGGTGACCCTGATGCAGCCCCTCTGCCCTGAGCCGCAGTCCCCGGGTGGGGACTCCCGAGTACCGCTTGGATGTTCCCCCTCCACTAGAAACACCTGCTGCCCAGAGGAGCGTGTTAAGAAACAGCCTCACATGTACCGACAATATTGTTCAGAAACTATCCCTCAGATTTCATGGGGGCCTGTTCTGCCATTTCCTCAAACACTCTGACTTGCCCAGCGCTCCCAGGTCCTCAACAGTGACTGCGGGTGAATCTCGTTTGGTTTCTGGCTCCTTCACTCATGGAGAGGAAGAAATCATTCTGGAGCCCCGGGAACGGCTGGCGGGCTTGACTGCGGAGGCCTGCCAGTGGCATTTCCTCCTTGGCCCTGGGCCTGGCATGGAGGCTGGCCGCAAGGTACATGGGAACCTTTCTCTCGCAAAGCCCCCAGTGTGGTCTCAACCAACAGGCCTTGTCACCAACCCGCCTCTCACGGATCATAGGCTTCACAGTGAAGAGCCGCCTGATTCTTTCAGGTGTGTGTGTGTGTGTGTGTGTGTGTGTGTGTGTGTGTGTGTGTGTGTGTCGGGGGGGCGGGAGGGGCATAGCCAGTGGTGCTCAGGGCTTATTCCCAGCTCTGCATCAGGGACCACTTATGGTGACCTCAGGAGACCGTATGGGGCCCTGGGGATCAGCCCTGGCTCAGCCGCATGGCTGCAGGTGCCCTGCCTGCTGTCCTATGGTCCGTACCGAAGATGCCTCATTCCGATGGGGCTTTGGATGAGGAGCAAAATGAAGACCAGGGCTTCTCGGCAAATTAAGCCTAAGGCAGACCCCTGGGGAATCTGTGGTGGACTCCAGTCAAACAGCCTGAAACAGACACGTCCCCAAGGGACCCCCAAAACCTCTTCAAGAGCCTCCCAGGAAGCGGAAATGCAGAGGGGAAGGATCAGAACACACACCAAAGGACAAGCCAGGGACAGGACAGGAACGACCAGTTTGGGGCAGGGCACGTGCTAAGTAGACAGTTCCGGTCAGTGCCAGAGAGCTTGTGGGGTGTCCCTGCTGATGCAGAGGGACCCACCCGCACTGCTGCCTACGGGTGCTGGCCCAGGAAGTGAAAATGCAAATCCTGACACGGTTTCCCCATTCTAGCAGGCCAGGGTAAAGGCTAAAGGAAGTCCCTCCACAGCTGCAACTGACTCCGCTCACCTCTGCCAACTGATGCACCCACAATCCCCCGTCCGCTCTGAAGGGGACTCAGGCCCCTACGGACACTGTCCCAGGTGTGAGTTGGAGGAGTGCGAGGCTCCCGCAGCCACAGGACAGGCAGGAATACTGACTGCATCCCTGTCCCCAGCGAGTCAGAGAAAACCAACCGAACCCGGACCCTGAGCCTGGAGCGAGCGTGAGAGACACTCCGCAGTGAGCAGGGACCCCCAGAGCCACTGTGTGTCAGCGTGGGGGTCAGGTCAGGCCTGCTGGGGGTGGCCCCCTCCCACACTCAGCTGCAGGGCCCCCAGGAGCGATGCCAGGGGGACAGGCCGCGTCCTTACCGGCAGGAAGAACAGGCTCTGGGCCCTCAGCAGGGCAGCTGGCACGGTGGGCGCACTCGTGTTCGACGTGTTGAGAGCTGAAGGGACGGTGTCCTCTGGGTCACTCAGGAAGAACTGCAAAGGAGGTTTTGTTTGTGCCAAGGCAGTGGCTCTCTGACTGGAGGCGTCCTTCTCTGCAGAATGCGGAGTGGACGCCTCCAGCCTCAGAGCCCTTGGAGTGGACACCTCCAGGCTCACTGTCTGCTCTGCAATACTGCAGGGACTTCTGGTCAGGGGGTGGCTACATACTACGGCCCTGGGTCCCAATCAGCAAAGTCGAGATCCTGCGGACAGGCATTGCAGAGGCCCCATTAAACAGCAAACACGGCCGAAGGCTGAGCCAGCCTGGGCGCACATCCCCCCCCCTGCCAGTGCTTGGGGGTCACGGGACGGTTCCCGCAGCAGCACCGCCATCCTGTTCAGACTCTGAGTCCCAGGAGAGGCCACTGCACCCCATCCCATGCTTGCTGTCCATTACACTGAGCACCTGGTGGCCCTGGGACAGCCAAAGCACAGGAGTGAGCCCCCAGGGCACGTTTGCTCTTCTTGCCGAACTGGGGTGTCCAATGATGGGTTCGGTCACAGGGCCAAGAAGGAGTGAGAGTCTGTGTGGGAACGGGCTCAGGCAGTGTAGAAGTGGAGGTCAGGGGAAGGAAGAACGTGCAGTGCTGAGTAACCTTGCAGGATGGAGAGTTTCAAGGAGGAAGGACCAGCCCAGGTGCGCTGGAAGCCGGTGGCTTAAGCCTGCACGGCCCCCATGTGCCCAGCAGAGGGCACCCGGGTCCCTGCCGTTACCCGCCAGGGCGGTGCAGTGTTATCAGCAGGGCCAGGAGGATGGCAGAGGGTGCGGGCACAGCACCAACTCCAGCACCTGCTCTGCATCTCTGGAAGCCCTGGGCATGGCCCATGAGGGCAGCCCAAGTCCTGGCGGGTGCGCTGTGCAGGAAGTTCTAGCAAAGCTCTCTAGCTCCCCAGCAGGGAAACGGTTTCCTTGCAGGACTTACTCTCAGCTGCAGTTTCCTGTGTGTCGCTAAAGCAAAGGAGAGGGGCCTTGGCAGGGAAGGAACCACCTACTTCACACATAGATGGGGATCTCCGTGCGGGTGGAGAGGCAGGGCTGCCAAGGCCCCGGCACAGAGAGAAGCCTGGCTTCCTCCCACCCGCAGCCCCCATGGACCAGGATCGCAGGGGCAGGGCAAAGCCTTGTTCCACCCCTGCTCCATTTCATTTGGCACTAGCTTCTTTGAATTTCATTCCACCCTCAGCTCTTTAATGCCTGGTTCTTCACACAGTTTCCCTCCTCACTCACGTACTAATGAAATTCCCTCCCTCCCTCCCTCCCTCCCTCCCTCCCTCCCTCCCTCCCTCCCTCCCCTCTCTCCCTCCCTCCTTCCCTCTCCCTCTCTCTCTCCCCTCTCTCTCCTCTCTCTCTCCTCTCTCTCTCCTCTCTCTCCCCCCTTCTACCTCTCTCTCTCGTTTTATACCACACCCGGCACTGCTCAGGGCTTACTCCTGGCTCTGCACTCAGGGGAATTACCCCCTGGTGGCACCTGGGGACTCTCTGTGGTGGTGAGGATCGAACCCAGGTAGCTGCTCGCGAGCCAAACTCCCTCCCTTCTGTCCTGTCCCTCCAGCCCTGGAACAACGTATCCAGAGGAAAGGCATGATGGGACTGGAGGGGTGTTTTCTGGGGATGCTTCTCTCCCGAGTCCTCACAGTCACGGTGAAACCCCAAACCCAACAACAACCACAGACAAGCCTCGAACACACCTGCTCCTGAGTGCTCGGCCTGCCATACATTTAGATAGTGACTCATGAGGCAATAAAAAGTACAATTGACTTCTGGATCGATTCGCTTCCGATCTAGATAGTCTGAGAAGGGCGGTGATAAATGCGGCGTTTATCAGGCTGGCGTGGAGGCTGTAAGAATAAGCGGTCCCTTGGTAAAGGACACTGAGGCCCGTCAGCCATGCGCTCCTTTAGTGTCCGCTGCCCTGTGGCCCTGCAGCGTCCCAGCCTGGGGAAGGCGTGGTCCCCCCGAGGTGTGAACTATGCTGTTTGGGAGCCTCTGAAACCTCCTTCCCGCAGGGGCTAGGCGGGCAGCTGACTGCCCGGCGTGAGAGCTGGAGGGCCAGCCAGGACAGGCCAGCATCACGCCCGGGGAAGCGCACTTCAAAGTGCTCCTGCCAGGGATCATTCACCTCTCAGACCCCTGGGCAGGCACCTCCACATGGGCGTTCCAGCTACTCTGTGCACACACACACCCGAGGAGAGGGACTGAGTGGTCAGCGCAGCCGGGCCCTGCTGTGTGGAGGCTAGAACATTCTCCAACTCTGCCTGGGACCCTCTGGTGCCTGGTCTCTTCCAGCCCCACTGCGGCCGGGCTGCCCTCAGCCAGGGTCAAGCTGTGATGTCCCCTTACACACCCAACACTGCAGAAGAGGACGGAAATTTTGCCAACTGCAGAAAGTGTATGTGCGTGTGTGTATTTGTGTGTGCACGCATGAGTATGTGTGCATGTATGCAGCCATGCATGTAAGTGCATGCATGTGTGTATGCATGTGCACGTATGCATGTGTATATGTATGTATGCGTGTGTGTCTGTGTGTATGTATGTCTGTGAGTGCATGTGCGTGTGTGAATGCATTGTGTGCATGTGTTCGTGTGCATGTGTGCATGCGTGTGCTAGGTCATGTGCATGTGTGCACACGTGTGCATGTGTATGTGTGTGTATGTATATCTGTGCATGTGCATTGCATGCATATGTGTGTATGTGTATGTATGTCTGTGAGTGCATGTGCGTGTGTGAATGCATGTGTGTGCATGTGTATGTGCAGTGCATGTGTGTGCATGTGTGCGCAAGGTGTGCGGGGGTGTGCGTGTGCATATGTGTGTGCATGTGTGTGTGTGTGGCAGGGTGGGCAGGGGCATGGAGTCAGGCCTCTGGAAGACTCCGTTACACGGTGCTCGTGTTGCTGGCCGTCCCCGCTCTTCCTATTGCAGGAGCCCAGGGAGCAGGGGTGGGGCGGAATCTTCCGGAAGGAGCCCCTTCTTTCTAGCTTCTCTCATGCCCCCCAAGGCCTGGTTGGGTGCTGTGCTGGGCGGGCAGCACTGGGCGCTGTGGGCAAGGCCTGTGCCAGGGCAAGCTAGGGGAGGCAGGGGGCGCTTACCATGTTAAAGACGGCCATGGTGAGGACGATGACCGTGGTGATGACTGTCAGGGCGATGCGCGGCCACGGCCGGCTGGCGATGATGCCCGAGGACCTCAGGAGCCAGAGCAGCGAGGCAGGGGCCTTCTTGCTGCACTGCTGCGGGGAGAAGGACACAGCACTGAGCGGGGATGCGGCTGGCCAGCAGCCCCATTCCCCTGACGCACAGCGCTGGTCTTGGGGTTGTCAGCTGGCAGCCCGCCCCACTTCTCCCCCCCCCCCCCCCCCGCACCGGGGTCTGGCCAGCCACAAGCCCGATTAAAACAACATTGGCATTGTCCCTGCAACTCGAGAACAAATTAATGCTGCTGTGATCATCCATGCCGGTGGTGCTTGTAGGACCTTTAAAGAGAACCAGAAATTATGCTTGAAGATGTCTCTGGAAAGGGGAAGAAGGCGTCAGCTAACTGAGCCGCCGGGTGAAGGTGGGGGGGGTCTGCTCCTGGGGGGCTGAGACACAGGGCTCATAGGCCTGGGGTGTTGAGAGCAGATTCAGATTCCGCTGACCATGAGGACACAGCCAGGCCCCTGGACAGCTGGGCTGACCCCGAAGAGACGATGCCTGTCCACTGGGTTTAGTCAGTCCTGTGTGGGACTTCCTCCCTTGCAGAGAATTGCTACTCAGGTTTTATTTATTTATTTTTTTAATTAACATTTTGAAACATTTTGTTTGTGTGAAACAGAGGCTCTCTCATGTGCCCTCTGAACCTTATATATATATTTTTAAATTATAGTTTGGTTGTGTTTACTCACTTTGTTGTACAGTAGTTTTCTAGAGATTTCCATCTGGCATCATGGACGCTCATGATTGATGACACAACTTCCCTTCCCACCACCCCCGCAAGCATGGAGCTGCCATATACATGCTGACTCTTAAGCGTTGGACTCTGCGGGGTCTTGAGCCGAGGGTCCTGCTGTAGGGGTCTACCCGTGACCAGCCTTATTTCAGCGCACTGGCTTCCAGAGGGGTCCGCCCCATAGCCTGAGCGGTGTTCCTTTTTCGGAGGCTAAATACAATTCTGTTCTATATAATAGACACTCACCTCTCAGCCAATACTTGTGGTGGTTTCAGTGAAAGAAATTTTGTTTTCCTTTTTGGGTCACACCCAGTGATACTCAGGGGTTACTCCTGGCTCTGCACTCAGGAATTACTCCTGGTGATGCTCGGGGGACCATATGGGATGCCGGGAATCGAACCCGGGTGGGCTGCATGCAAGGCAGCCCTACCCACTGTGCTGCCACTCTAGCCCAGTGAAAGAAAGTTCCAAAGAAGCAATAAGTACCTTTGACCCTTTGGGCTGCTGTGACTAAGTTAAAACAAAGCCGTGACTGGTGCAGTGTAGAGGCTCAGTGCACACTCTGCTGAGCACTGTATTTCTCTCACCCCTCTGCATTCTCTCCGTGGGATTCCCGCCAACCTGCTGCAGATGCAAACACGGCAGCTGGAGCCCAGCCAGACTCCCCTGAAGGGCTGGGAGGGGGGTCCTGGGACTCAGCCCCCACAGCTGGGGGCTTTCTGAAAGGTAAATAGCCTCTCTGATCCCAGTTTCTGATTTTTAATTTGACTGCATTTTTGTTTTCAAGGCTGGAGCGATAGCACAGCGGGTAAGGCGTTTGCCTTGCATGCGGCCAGTTGGCCGACCGGAGTTCAATTCCTTCGCCCCTCTCGGAGAGCCTGGCAAGCTACCGAGAGTATTTCTCCCGCAGGGCAATGCCTGGCAAGCTACCCGTGATGTATTGGATATGCCAAACACAGTAACAACAGGTTTCACAATGTTACTGGGCCCGCTTGAGCAAATCGATGAACAACAGGACAGTGCTACAGTGTTTTGTTTTCAGGATTTGGAGCTACCCCCAGAAGTGCTCAGGAGCGACCCCAGGTGCTTGGGGGCCCTATGAGGAGCTTGGCATTAAGCCAGGGCCGGCTGCTGCCGGGCAAAAGCCTAAGCCTGGGGTACCTCTGCAGCCCCCTGATCTCAGGGTCTTTCCCTCTCAAAGGGGACAGAGAACAGCAACACCTGCCACCCCTGAAGGTTTAGGAGTCACACCAGGCCTGGGAGAGGGCGAGCTCAGCCCTTCCTGTCATACTTACGCTAACGCAGAGCTTGTCACCACACTAAGCCCTGGAGTCTACTAGGTTTCTGTCCCTAGGCCAACGATTCCTCCCACCCGCAGCTGTTCCCGTCCCCCTCCTGGAACGAAGAGACTATGTAGGAAGGAAGAGACTATGTAGAGGGGTTGAAGGGGGGGGGGGGTGGCTGAGGCATCTGAGCCTGGGGCTTCGTGGGGACAATTCCCTCCAGGCAAGACAGAAGAGCTGCATTTCCCTAGGAAATGACTTTGCAGGACCTTTGGTGGCTTTCTTGTATTTATTTGTTTATGCATTTACTGTAACTGTGAGATACACAGTTGCAATGCTGTTTGCGGTTGGGTTTCAGTCATCCAATGTTTCAACACCCGTCCTTCCACCAATATCCGTTTCCCACAACTAATGACCCCAGTGTCCCTCCCCTCCAGCTTACCTCTATGCCTCTATAGCAGGAACTTTCCCCCTCTCTCTTCCTCTCTCTCTTCCCTCTCCCCCTCTCCCTCCCTTTCCCCCTTCTCTCTCTCCCTCCCTCTCCCCTTCTCTCTCTCTCTCTCTCTCTCTCTCTCTCTCTCTCTCTCTCTCTCTCTCGCTCTCTCTCTGTCTCCCTTGCAAAGCCTTCAATGCCTTGAACATGCAGAATCCTAAAGGTCGTGATCACTTACTGCCCAGTTACTACCCATGCAGCAGGACCACCAGCCACACTCTGATCTATTTTCTGGAGGAGAAAATTTCATAAAGCAGAAAGAACGGAGTTTCTGGGAAAGCATCCACCATTTAGCTAAGATTTCATTGCGCGGTGTGGCTTGATTCTAGAAAACCAAGACATCACATATTTGCATCCTCATCCCCTAAGATTAGTAATTTTATTTTAGTTTTTTTTTTTTTCAAAAACAGAAAGAAGCTTTTGTGTGGCACAGAAAGCAACAGATATGATGATGAAAATATTGGGAATAAAAATGAGATGATTTTAGGTAAAATAGTGTATGCTATTACAGACCTACTACTGAAATGATGAAATTTGAAAAGATGACTTTTTCGAGTTCTTGCAAATAACACAAGGCGAGGGACGTCTTGGCAGACACGAGAAGGAAGATAGAGATGCGAGGGGATCAGAGAGAACCAAAGATGGAGAACAGAGATTAAGACATTAAAACAGATTCCGATTAAAGAAAAATGAGGACACTGATTCCATTTGCAGGTCTGAATAAAAATTATGGCTTGGATCTTGACATAATAATTTGGTTCAGTTTATAATATTTTGGGTTAAGTATTCAAAAAATGAAAAACATATGCTTGTCAAAATTTGCACCATCCTTATGGAACATTACACTGGAACTACCTCAAAGGACACTTGGCATTTAGTGAAAAGATGTTTTTCATATGAAAATGAGAGGCCACCTTCCATGAGTCCAGCCCTGTCATCATTTGCTCTTTGGTTTAATGACCTTTGTAATTCCAATCAAGCCCATTTCCTCTCCTTCCCAATCTGCTGCAGTCCACTCCGCACTTATGGCAGAGGGACCAGGGACCTTTTGGTTCTTCACTGTGAACCCACCTACGATATAGAATTTGTTCTAAATGATGCAGAAGGAACAAGGACAGGGGTTTCTAGGAAAGCCCACTCAGGGACTTGCTGGTGCTCAGGGTCTTGAAAAGTGTGGTCTGCTCAAAAGGGCAAAGGGTGAAGGAATGAATTCTTCCTCGGGTGCAGACAGAAGATTCTTTGCATAAAATCAAAATATTCACCCCTTATCTTTGTATTAACAAATGAGAAAAATTATCTCCACTAACTAAATATTTCCCTCCCCCTCTCCCTCGCTTCCATCCTTCCTCCCCCCCCCCCCCCCCCCCGCTTCATTCCTTTTGGGGAACATTTTGCCTTGCAAACAACTGGGATCTTCTCATTCAAGAAATCCTCACTGCTTAAAGTACAACTATACGTGCAGAATGTGTTTGAAATTCATTTGTGCCCATCTTAAAATGGCACGAGGGGCACGAGAAGCACATGGTTCTCTTAAGTGAAATGAAAAGAAATAAGACGTTCAGAAAAGGCAGAAATACATCACACTGATTAAATAACAAACCTTCACTATAAGAAAAATAAAACGCCCCTTACAAATCTTGCCTGAAAAAATTAAGCTGATGACGGTCACCTAAACTTTCATGTATTTGCCCAACGAAGCAAACACTTTGGCATTTTTCTTGGCAGAGAGGATTGGCTTTATCAAGGGCAGCAAAAATGGACACCCAGAATTAATTGTGACGGTTAATGTCACGGGGACAGCGTACGCACCTTGGTCATTTAATGTCACTGAACTCCCCTGCCAGGTCTTATTTCAATCAATCCCATTTCCAAAATCAAGGCATTTTGCAGCCCTCCTTTGTCTTTGGGGCTCCCTGCTGGAACTGAACCTGTCTCTGACCACACGGGCAGTGGCCGGCATCCTATCCCCAGAGATTAAGGATGTGTTTGCTTATGAGCATCCTGGAAACAAGCATTTGCTCCACACTCACTATCTCTATCGTGGGATCCAAAGGGCACCAAGCAGTGAGCATAACCTGGACAAGGAAGCAGGAGGAGAGGGGTGGAGGCTTTGGGGTTGGCCCTAGAGTGTCCTGGGGCAGAACTCAGACCCCAACCACCACCGAAGGTGACAGTATGTCAGGAAGAGCACAGGGAGAGAGAAGCTCCCCGGATGACACCAAGATGCTGCCACAGGAACTGGGAATTCCCCAAGCAATCAGAAGTCTCCGAAGGGTTTTCTTCCCGGGGGAGAGCTTGAGAAGAATTCCATGTGTGGGTTTGGGGAAGAATCCTTAGTTCCCACATTCTCTTTAAATATGGGTATTGAGTTTACAATGGCGTCATCTGCTCCAGGATGAAAACACTAAGTCGAAGGGACATCAGTCAGGTGGGCTGCTTGGGATCCCTGAAGGCATGAGGACATTTTGTACTGATGCTTTCTAGCTTAGGTGGCGACTGAACCACTGAGCACGATCTCACAATAAA